AACATATATATAAACGTATATATGTAAGTCAAAAGTATACAAGTTATTTAAAGATGAAATTAATCAGTTAAAAAAGTTTTGCATGCTTGAAATTAAAAATAAACTTCAAAAATAAATTTATACTAATATTAAAAGATATATATTAGTCTAGTGTGACTATATGACTCTATGTAAAATTCTTCGCGATTTTCACCAGCTTTGCAACTCGACTGCGACTAAACCGTAATTACAAATTCTAAAATTATTTTTGCAAAATCTTCAATGTCTACCTTTCTCTGTTAAATGAAACTAAAACCAATTCTCTATGTTATTTGATTGCGGAGCTATAAGCGTTTAAAAATAACACGAAAAGCGTAATAATTTTTTCCTTTTCCGACACACCATTAGACCACTATGGAGAAAAGCAAGTCTAAGTCAAATGTATACAAGTTATTTAAAGATGAAATTAATCAGTTAAAAGTTTTGTATGCTTGAAATTAAAAATAAACTTCAAAAATAAATTAAGTTCAAAAAATGTGCACTTCGTGCACATTTCTTTTGAAATGTAGGTACACAACATTTGTGCTTCTGTTATAACAATCCTACGTCGGCCATGTAACTAATAGTAAAAAAGCAAAAAAACAAATGCTTCCTTTCTTTGTTTCGCTCAATCTGAAAGCAATATAATAAACCACTATATGCAATTTAGCATAGATGGCGAAATACCTGAACGCATTAAGACACCTTCAACGAAATTATGTACTTTGATTGTTATAGCAATAAAGACTTGTGTAATGATTGCAATTACCTCAAACCGACACCGTGAATAGAAATGACCGATATTAAACATGATATTGCAGAATAACAGGTATGCTGATTGCATAATAAACGCTTCGAGTTGTAGAGTGTTCTGCAAGGGATATAAAAACAAGTAACGACCACTTAAAACAACAAACAAACATAATGATAAAAACTGCTACTATCCAGAATCTCGGATGAAACAATTTCGGCAAATAATAATGCCGCTAGGAAAAATGATGCCAAAGAAAGCACAGCACAGAATTTCATTATTATTTCACCTGGGAATTGATTAGATTAAAAGTGCAAATAAATATCAAACATTGAAGTGAAATATGATTTATTGTCTGACCCGAATAGTCAGCCTTTTTTGCATTCAATTTTAACAAGCCAGCTTCGTGCAAATTTCTCTGATGTTTCTAAATACTAGAAACGTTTCTGAAATGAATTTCTTTTTGCGTAAATATACAATTTCTACTGAATGCCTGTGACAACAAAATCTCGAAACAGTTAAATTTTAGAGAAAGCTATGGAGCCAATTCATGCTCACAGGATTATACATCGAACATGTTCGCTTAACGAATACTTCATCACACACATTACAGGAAAGCAATCCACATTGGGCAAATTCTTTAACCCCAAGTACAGAATCTTTGACCAATATCTGCCTTTACCAGTAAATACTAGATACTTTTATGGTAAACAA